TTGATTGAAATCAAGAAGTACTGGTTAGAATTGAATAAATATGTTTGCGTTAAATAGTTCATTTATTAAGGAAGGCTTTAGGCTATATAACATCACGTTCTGACTAATAGGAATGGAGCAGCAATGAAGAATGTTGCAAAAACGTGAAGCGTTGAATATCTAGATACCGTGTGACGGAATCTTTTTATAAATACTGTTTTTATTTGGCTTAGATACTAATGTTTCAGAAAAAAATATGTTGGAAACTACATCCATTTATCAAAATGGTTGTTTGACATTTAGTAATTACACAAAGTCACATCTAGCAAAATACTCATTTATTAGAAAAAAATTGTATGCTATTTTTCATTTCACAAATTAATATTTCTTTTGCAATTGTTCAACACTAATTCCAAAAAGTACTCATAACATTTTTAAGGTTAAAATTGAACTGTTCGTGTTCGTTGTTTTTTTTTTATCTTGCTTCTCTACGACATAAATATTAATAAAGGCAACATTAATGCAAAATTTATCAAAATAAAAATTTTTATTCATGAAAATATCACTGCACTGGTAGTTAAAATTATAAGTTGTAGCACAAATTAATTTGAACGAAATTAAACTATTACTCATTTATTGAACACGAACATTTTGAAATTCCGTATTTTAAAGAAAATCTAGGAGTTTTTGAAAGTACCTAGGTATATTATTGGAAATTTGGAAGTTTGTATAACATTTGCATGATACTTACAATCACTATTTCAAAAAGCTTATTTCCCATAACTTCACCAGCGTACATTATAAGCCTATATCACCCGTGCCCGCGTACGACGTAACTTCCCATAGATAAAAGATTTTTTACAGATCGGATCAGTATGTTCAAGAATTACTCCCTACAAAAAAACAAGGTTAAAAACTTTAGCTCTTTGTAATATTAGTATAGATTTATTGAATATTATACCAAATTTGTGCCGCAGCTATTTAGCTATTTAAATTAAACTTTTTATTAGTGCATCATCCTTGTAAACATCTGACAAAACTGTATAATATTCTCATATACCGATAGTGTCTATCACTGGATCTGTTGCTAGCCACATCTTGAAAGTCTTGGCGTAGGTGCATGAATGAAAAAGAAAACAAGTCAACGAAGAGAAATTACAAGCCCATTCCAATTAAATTCAGTAATAACTTCATTCTTTCATCTCCACAACAAAATATTTAAGTGAATTTTGATATTATTATCCTACTTAATATTATACACAAGATGTTTTTTTTTTACTTTATTGGATCAACAAACAGTTTCACAATGAAATCACTTGAACCAGCAACAAATTAATTACATATATCTTGTGATTGTGAAACCAACACCGTTGACCACAAGTAACTAAGTACATTTCACATTGTAGTTGAATAAATAAGATGTTAACGAGAGAAAGAAAATATCAAAAAAAATATTGTTATTAAAGTTAATTTTACTTTTTTACATATTTTAAATATACATAATTTCCTATTATTCGGTGTATAATTTACTCTCTTTCATAAACTAAATAATTACACTTTGTGTTATCATTATTGGCAACTGGTACATTATTCATGTTTTATGTAGATGATTATAAATTCTACAAACTAAATACCAACTGTTTTACAACGCCAAAGCATGCAATCCACGACATTGTTCGGTTGATGTGAAGTGACAACCCTATTTAAACTTTGCTGTCGTAGTAGTAACGCGTATGGCCCATTGGCTCCTCGCCAACGTGGTAATACCAAGGCGGCCCTTAATACAACTTTAGGGCTGTCGAATCCAGTGCCCTGCTATGTAATAATAATATTTAGAAGAAACAATCGGCTGACATCGCGAACTTCATATAACTTTAGAGTTTTAAACGTATTTTTAAAGCGGAGCTCATATAATCACTCACTTACTATAACTACTAACTGTCCGACCGCAGCTTCGCCCACGCGTAGAAATTGGTTTTTAAACTATTCTTAGTACATTCCCAAGGGCCACTACGTATGTATACAAAATTAAATCCAAAATTATTTCAGTTATTTAGACGTAAAAATACAGCAGACACACACACACAAACAGAGTTTCTTTCGCACTAATTCTATAAGTATGGATAGTATAATTCAGATATGCAACTGATCGAAGCAGGAAATTACGAGAGCGGTGCATGGCTGAACTGGATACTTGACTGTTTTTGCCTTCCTTGTAAGGGATTCGAAATGAAGATATATTGTAGTATGACATTATTCATGTGCATACAATTACAAATGTCATAACCTCGGCTGTATTTGCGCCCACCTTAACTGTCATAATATTTCATGTTAACATTTTACTGTTAATCTGTCATTTTGAGTCTAAAATATCGAACAAATTATCGAAATGAAATGAAAATATCTTTATTCAAGTAGGCTATTACAAACACTTTTGAATCGTCCAAAAATTTTTTTTCCCCTACCACTTCTTCAGGACGTCTTTTAGCTGACAAGAAGAACAAGCGAAAGAAACTTACCAGCTCTTTATCATAAGTAATGACATTTACGTAAATCATGTCATTACCAAAATAATATGTATTATCACAATAATAAATACAACTTTCAAAGTCTGTAGGACATAGGTTGAACATATAATTAGACTTTATAGAACAAAGCGAAAGCTATTAATTCCATGCATTGCGATCCTTAATATAATCATCAAATTTATAATAGCCTTTACTCATAAGTATGTTCTTTACATGAATTTTAAATTTATTTATGGGTAGATCAACTACATTTTGTGGAACTTTATTGAACATAGCAATGCATTTACCCAGAAATGATCCTCTGGTTTTCTGAAGTCTGAAGCTTGGAACGGCAAGTTTATTTTTATTTCTTGTGTTAAAATTATGAACACTACTTTTTATTTAAAGGAATCGTAATGTTTTCTTGCGTACATAATATTTTCATAGATGTATTGAGAGGCATCAGTCAAAATATTTATCAAAACAGAATATCATAAATATCAGATCAGCCCTAATTGATTTATTAATAGTGTAACTAAAGTTATTTTACGATCCGTTTAACATAATTTAAATATTTTAATTTCAACTCCGGCAAGCGATAACCCTACGCTATATGAAATATGCCATCATTACGGACGACGTGCCAGAACAGGTACGTATAAACAACTATGTACTTGAATTGATTTATGCGCATTTCCGTATTGTTGTTTCGGTGGCACTAATTTATCATTAGCACTGTAATGTAATATGTTAAGTACGTGAAGAAACTAAAACTGTTTTGGCATGTTAACAGAAACATAATACATGTTTATGAGACTGATTTATGTTATCGTTTTCTATTTATTGTATACAAACCTCTTTCCTATTTATAATATACTAGCGATTAACCCGTAACTTCATCCTGGTATATAGCCTAATCACCCGTGTATGATAAAGCTATATAACCCGTGTCATACACGGCTTTCCATTGGTGAAAGATTTTTTAAAATCGGTCAGTACTTTCGGAGCCTTTCAAATGCAACTAAATAATCAAATCATTCCTCTTATTAGTATAGATAGATCAAGATTAAGGAAAGAAATGAAACTGTTAAATAATTTTGTAAAGAAACAAGGTAATCATGGAAAATATCTCCTGCCTTGATTTAATAAATGGTTGCCAATAGTTTTAATAACTTCAACAAAAAAAAAGTATTTTTAATTAACCATAACCATATTAAGTTGCAACATCATAAAAGTCGCCATAAAATACGCCATTAAAGTTTACAAATGCTTCTATAAAATTTGCATATCTTCACAGCACAAACGTTCCGTAAATACATAATTGAGTTGAGCATTGAGTTTTTATGTACGTCGAATGGTTCAATTAAATCAGCTCCAAATGGGTCGCGTCACATTTTTTCGTTATTGCCTGGCAGAGCAATTATATGCGAGAATGTTGTTATTTACGAAGACAATATTTTAGATGGTTTGACTCTGAAAGACCACTGGACGACCTCCAGCATGTCTCGCGGGCTACGACCAAACATCTGACGGAAGCTTAGCGCAAGCAATCATGAGCCTTATCCAATTGACTACTTAACAGTTACATATAACAATAAATTATGAAATATATTGGTAATATTAACTTATAGGTAAACAATAAGTAACTACGTAATGTTTTATTAATAAAATGTATAAATAAAAATAAATAAAATAATTATCGGACAACATCACACACGTTGTTCCGATTCCGAGGTAAGTAGCTTAGGCACTTTTGTTACGGATACCAGAAACAACGGAGGGAATACAAATATATACGTAATATAAATAGAAAACACCCAGACATAGAACAGACATAATTGTTAACCACAAAAATATTTGTCCTGGGTGGGGATCGAACCCACGACTCTTGGCTCAATAGTAGGAACGCTACCACCGCGCCATTGAGCCCGTCATGTCCAGAAGTTTTTGTTCGTTGTTTACCCCTATTCTCATTTGAGACAAATCATTGCACTTTATATGCCAATTAAGCAATTGTCGTTCGATCTATCGCCATTTTTTTATCTTTAATGGACAGTCGAACAGCACGATAAAGTACTAAAAGGCCAAACTTCTCAAATTTTAAGCCTTAATCAGTTGGTAATTAAGTGTAAAATTGCTTGCAGAAATTCGAATTCTGATGTGCTGCTGTATGCAACTAATACTAATTTTTACTACGCGCCTCTAAATATAATACAAATATTTGTAGGCCAATTAACTCAAGATTGTTATTATGCTACTATATATTATAAAATGCTGCATATATGTAAAAGATATTCCATATTTAATTTGATTACTAACGAACAACTATTGGCAACTTGAAAGTTGAAATCTTTTAGCGATTAATATACATTTAATTGTAGAGACTCATTATTATGGTTAAAAGGACCGTATAAAGGAGTATCGTGTGACGTCACATTTTGAAACGAAAATCTTTGACCCGACCAGGTATCGAACCCGGGACCTCACAGATGGCGATAATAACTTATTTCTATAATGTATATCTTTGGTTTTTTTTTTATTTCAGATAAACATGTACGTCAAAGCACATTAGACAAGCTTTGGAACAAGCAATCGGGCGCCATTCAAATGCTACTTTCCATATTAGAAGTAAGATATAAACTGTTATACAAGTAATTATCTAATGAGGGAAATTCTAGACAGTCATGCCCGCGGAGCGAATCTGCAGACATGCCTAGTCTAGTGGATCCCCGTTTAAGGAAAAATGAAGATAACTGATATATACTACATATTTCAGAGCACCAGAGACACGGCCACATCTACTTACATCACTTCAATATTAAGAGAAACTCTGTGCTTGAAACAGGGTAAAGGAAAAAAATGTTCAGGTATTTGATCAAAAATTTTAAATATATAAAAAAAACTCCAAAATTTATAAAATTAATCAAACTATAATTCAATGAATTAGTTCCCAATGAACCACCGCAAAATAAGAAGAAAGACAACAAAAAAGCGGGAAAAGAAAACAAAGCGCCTCTCATTAAAAAGGGTATGTTATACGTGTGGCGCTTAATGACACAGCTTAAAACTGTAAACTAGCAAATTACAAAAAGGAGTTAACAAATATAGCATGCACCTAATATTAAGTATAATCTTACTACAAAAGACATGCCAAAGCCTTACAATGAATTTCAACAGTATTCACTACTCGTACGAATCAACATGACACCTGAAGACCTATTGTAGATATTTCTACGAAAATAAAATTATATATACTATAGAAACTGAACGGTAGCCTGTGTGGATTAATCAGTGCTTATAGTATCTTGTTTACTACATTTGCATGCTATTGTTAATGGCTGAATAGGCGAATCCTTTTACATCATTTTTGTATACCCTATTCAAACGCAAATAAATTATTATTATTATTTTAATACGACTCCCAAGAAACGCATTTTTTTATAATTTATAATGCAACGGAAGTGACATTGCCTCTTATGTATCTTGATGGATGTGATTGTAACAAAATACAGTTCAAAAATATAGTAAATAAAATAGTAATAAAATAGATCCACAAATGTCATGATAATTCGTGCTGGTTATAAAATATTTTCTAAAACAAATAGTTGCTTTACTATTGACGATGTAAACACGTATGTAGACCTGCTTACTGACATTTAAGACGAGCTTACAAATGCGCCCGGCATTGTAACAACACGAAAACACGACCTTGTAATTTATAACAATAAGATTATAATCCAATTACTAATTCCCCTTACCACTGCTGTATTCAATCATATTAACATAAAGATTTATACCACACGGCTTATTGACGATGCCTATATTATAACACGAACGCCACTGGCTAATAGAATTATCGAATTATTGGTAAGCAGTATTAAATCCTATTATTATTTTATACAAACGCAATGAAAATTCTGAATTGAAGATTTTGATAATCATCCGAAACCTTACACAAAGTTATGTCATTAACAATACTTTTAATTCAAAAGATAATGTCATGCTTTCACTTTTGGAATCGTGCACTGCATGTTTAAGAATAACCGATGTTGACTAAGCGATGAAATTATATGAAAAAGCATGGAATGAATTTCAGCAAACAACCTAGCACGGCAACAATGCGCTCAACACTTCGTATCGATAAACGGATCGCAAACGGTGATTCGCATCTTACTAGCGACTCAAAGCAAGCGTGACAGCAGCGTCAGCACCGAATTGATGCTACAAGACCTCGTTTGGATCCTAGCTTCTCTAGCGCCTAAAGGTATGCAAAACCCTAAGCCCCTGTTGCTTCGTTACAGCGAACAACGTCGTGCGACAGCAGGCAGCGCAGAGCTTCATCGAAATGAAAGGCACCCACGTCGTACTGAGAAAACTTATTGGTACTATGCATGACAAACGAGAACGACACGGTGGCACTGATATTATATTGCAAGACCTCATCTGGATTTTAGCACCCCTTGGCTCAAGAGGTTATAGATAATCCTTCTTTTTTTTCATGAAATCATTTCTTCCACTATTAAGTAGTAGATAAAATAGATCAAGGATATTTCATTTATATTCAGACTAGAAACGGGGTATGTATTTGCTTGAATGTACAGTTTTAAGAGTTCCCTATATGAAGTAGGCTTTTCTTATTTTTAAATTCAGTTCAAAGAAACTGCAATTGAAAATGAGAAATGTAACTAAGTCAAAGTTAAAGTAGCATTTTAACTAAAAGAGTTTCTAAAACATTGTAATAACTAAAAAGATAAGACTATATCACATAGATTGCTCAGATACCAAATTTAATAATTTTTAGCCTTGTATTATCATAACAACTGATATATCCAAAACAATGAAAGGAGCACCGAAATCTGAAACAAATAGAAAAAAAACATTTACTTCATTGACCAGATCGAGAACCAAACCTGGGACCCGAGTGATAGCGATAAAGGCGTGTGAGCTGGCGACAGAAGTCAACTTGAACGAATAACACAAAATTAGCATAATTGGATAAACAGTTTATAACCAATTGCAACAATATAATTTCAACATAACAGATACAAAATATCAATTATTAAATAGTGAACATTTTACAGATCCCAAATTCGCGATGAAAGTGAGAATGCTTGGCTGCGTAAGAACAATGCATCTTATATTGAAAGGACATTTTACAGACAACAAGTTGATTTTTCCGTTGTTAGTCATCATGAAACAGTTAGCAAAGAACGGTAAGCTCCGTCGTATAGAAGATTCATCAAAGTGTCCTTCTACACATAAAGTTGAATTAATTTTTTAATTTCAGCCATTACAACATCAATTTTGATACGTGATGGTATAGTAGGGACGTATGAAAGAGTATTGGTCAGCTTGGGATTCATTCCAACAGCCAGACTGCGACTTTGCCTGGACGCTATCGACTACTTCAGCAAAAACAGTTAAGTGATAATCAATAATATTCAACATCTGATAGCATATTTTGGTATGCTCAATGATACTATCATTAATGTGATTAATTATTTCTAAATAAATGTCACACGAATACAATGGAACAAGCGCACGCAACATTCACAATATAAGCACAATACGTAAAACGTACAGTACCCCAACTCAGACGTGTTCTTAAAATGTATACCTACAACTAGACAAAGCGCTAGTGTTGGTACCTACAAAAAGTAAAATTATTGCTTACATTATGTTAAGTTAATTAAACTGTCGGGACAAGGAAATTTGAGCACATATCAGCCAACGCGTGCTTGGCGGCCGCGTAAACGATGTTTCAATGTGTGCATGTGACGATTCGTCCGTTTATTTGGAGTCGAGTTACTGTTCCTTTTATGTATTATGATATAAGTCTGTGTCAGTCACACGAATGATAGATACCACTGAACGATATATACATCTGTCCACCTACATACTAGACGCGATAGCATAATGTTACGACCTCCTTCTTTGTTGACATTTTGCATGTCCAATGTACGAGTATCTGTTCTTGATTCACACGTGGGTAACTCAAAAAACAGAGGTGTGCTGCATGCAGATCGTGAAGACAGGGCTATGTACCGTACTCCTCAGGGTGTTTGACCGATGGGACAGGTACGAAGGACGCATGAGACTCAAGATATGTGCCCACATACTGCAGACACTCCAACATCTGTGCAATATAAGTATGTATATGTTTGTTTATAACCACCATTTAGGGATTTGGCATACTTAGAAACGAATGTTGTATATGAAATTATGGTTGCTAATGAACCGATAATTAATTGAAAAGCATGAACAACGACAAAATGATTAATTCACCACCACCAACCCTTTTACGTCCCCACTGCAGGGGCTCAGGCCTTCCTTATGGATGGTTAAGGAGCATGGGCCATGACCCTCCACGCTGGCCCAATGCGGATTGGAGGGTATTAACGACTGCAAATGCAGCCGGGACCAACGGCTTAACGTGCCTTCCGAAGCACGGAGTAGCTCGAGATAATAATTTTTTGGTCACCCATCCCGTGACCGACCCTTGCGAAAGTTGCTTAACGACTGCGATCGCGGGCCGCGGCGCTTATCCACTACGCCACCGAGCTACTCACGCCACCGAGCTACTCATTAATTCACCAATAATTTTATTTTACAAAATATCACTTAGATTCTCTTATCATATCATTGTGACTGAATAATAATAATGTTATGTTTCACTCAAAGAGGCAGTTGAAGCATGATAAAATAAAACTATGGCCTAATTGTCTAATTTCAAAATCTCGCGCATTGCCTTTCAATTGTACAGTGATTGTGATAGCGGTTTAAGGAATTATATAAGTCTAAAGTCGCCACCGCTTTTGGAACGAATGAGGATTTGATTAATCAAGAGACATATGAGCTAAACTTGTAGAAAGATTGCAGTTAGTATTCAACGGTTTCGCTTGACATTTCTTAATAGCTTTCAAAGATATTAACGTCAAAAGCTTTGCCTAGAATTAACAATATCTTTCAAGAAATCGTTGGGGTGCAAGAAATAATTGTAGCGTGAAATTCATGAATTTGTATCTTATGTATCTTTCAATTATCAAATGTGAAGGGATTGCGATAGATATTCTGATTGACATCATCGACTGCGCAAATGCGCATATATTCTCTGACAATTTATTGCAAGCATTTACCACACTAATGCGCAAAAAACATTTAGGTTTTTGAGAACATCAAAGTATACTACTGAATCAAATTAATAATCTAATGATTTCTTTAAATTCTGTAGAAGCCGGACGACGCGCTTTGTGCACGAAAAAGCACGTGCAAACATTGCACCGGTTCTGCTCACAGTGTCCAGACGAGCCGGAATTTGATGGGCTATTAGCACGAGTATGCTCAGTGATCACACTTTGCCTAAAGCACCAAGCACTGCCGGTACCTACATCCAGTCCAGCTGCGTTCAATCTCAACCCTATACTTAAAGGTATATATGAGTTAGTTAGATACAATTATATTAAAACACCGTGATTAAAGCATTCACCGCAATAGATAAGAGCGTAAGAACAGAAGGATAGATAATAGAAACGGTTGATATAATTCATTTAAAATCAAACAATCAATAGCTTAATTTTTTATTGGTTTTTTGATTTAGATAATTTGTAAGTCTATGTTATCAACCACTCTTTTGTTTTAATAAAAATAGTACGTTAAATAATATGTGTGCATGTTTGAATAAGGTTTAAATTTTTTTATCCTTTGCAGTCTGTGACCTAACAAAGCGAAAAAAATATTAAAAACATCTTTAGCATTATTTCACATCCGTTTGCTCAAATATCGATAAGTTGAATACTTAGTTAAAAGGTTAAAGCTATTAGTGATGTGTTTTCTGCGATAATTTTAATCCATTGATCTTAAAGTTCGTGTCTGTCATTTTTTATATAATATCTGTTTCTCTTGTTCTAATTGTGCAACCACATCATCTTTACAGGTACCAATACTTTGTGGCCATGTCACGAAGATGAAGAAGATGCAGCTAATTCAGATTCAAAGACTGTTACTTCTGATCTCGATGATGATAGCCCAGATATAGATATAGAAGGAATGGATGAATTTCCTGATATAGACTTCGATGAAAATGAAATTAAAACAGATAATTCTGGCGAAGAAAAGGTTTTTATAAAAGGAGGAGATAGCATACAAAGTTCAATGTGGATTAATCCAAATGAGAGAGATATAGAAGACTTAAAAAAGTAAGCTTATAATAATTATTATTTTATATCTTACATATTATGTTATTCTCGGACAATATTCTTTCTTATTTTATGTCGTATAATTCAACACATTTTAAATGACGATTATATATTTGCAGATATTTTATTTACTTTAAGGAATTTGGCTCTTATAACAAACAAGTAAGAGTAGTTAAAAGTAGATCAAACTCTCGAGGCTCAATCTTAGATGATTTTCTTGGTAACCAGATGGGATCCAATAGAGTCTTAACGTCTTTGAATTTGTCCTTGTCAGCTGTATTGGGGAACACAGATTATGATAACGTTTACACTGGTTCACCATCTGCATCACAATTTCAAGGGTGTCACAAAGTTCACGAGAGCACTTGTAAGTAATATAACCTTCCATTTAATCTGCTGATGATAAATTATTCAGTATTATATCACATTAATAACTATTACTTTCACATTAATTTATTTAAAATCCACTGTCTTTTTATCCTTATAATACGAGGGTCAAACTGAAAGTTCTTAGAACTGGCCACTTATAAACAATATAATAAAAAAATAATTCTAAAATTTGAAAATATAACTCTTTGCCAATATTACTGAGTATATATTTCATTCATTTGTCATTTGTTTTACGATTTGGCGGCAAATTGAAAATTGTCTGTGTCACGTCATCATGAATTTAACACGAGAAAATTTTCGTGCAATGATTTTTTATGACTTTCGATATCATTTAAGTCAACAAGAAAGTTATGATAGACTACGATTGGCCTTTCACGATGAAGCCCCATCTCGTGCGACTGTTTACAACTGGTTTAATGAGTTTAAACGTGGTCGCACTAATCTCACTGATGATTTACGTGAGGGACGGCCTTCTACGGCGACGACTGAAGATAACATCTGTGTTGTGCGGCGTATGATAGAGACTGACAAAAGAGTGACCTATCAACAGATTCGGACAAGCTTAGGCATCGGTATGAGTCAAGTGCACAAAATCCTCCACGAACATTTAGCGGTCAGGAAGCTTTGCGCCCGGTGGATACCTCATAATTTGACTGAGGCTCAAAAACTCCATCGTGTGGATTGGTGTCGTAAAATGATTGAAAGATTTAACGGAGGTGACTCAAATGCTGTGTTCGACATACTAACAGGTGACGAAAGCTGGATTTATTTATTTATTTATTTATTTATTTATTTAGTACACCAACGATTGTTACATTAATTTGATTTAGTAAACTAACTTAATTTAAATTTGCTGAATGTACAATCATTTACAGGTGAACATCGCATGCAAAACCTGAAATAAACATTTACTTAGTTTACGGATCACACAATCTCACTCCATGAAAAACAACTAGGAAACAGTTACAAAAAAAAAAAAACAAACAAAACAATATACTTAATACACTGAGACATTGAGAGTTGAACAATTATTTAGACACTAATCGCTTTAATTCAGCTTTAAACTGGAATAGGGAGGACTGTTATGATCCTAAAACCAAAAGACAATCTGCTCAGTGGGTGTTTCCTTTCGAGGAGTTGCCAACTAAAGTGAAGAGAGATCGAAGTGCGGGAAAAAAAATGGTGGCCTCGTTCTTTGGAAGGATAGGTCATTTTGCAACAATTGTGTTAGAGGATCAAAAAACAGTTTCTGCAGAATGGTACACTACCAATTGTTTGCCACTTGTCTTGGAAAAAGTTCGAGAGAAACGACCTCGCAGTAGGATCCTCCTTCACCACGACAACGCCTCGTCGCACACCGCCAAGCGAACGATCGACTATTTGGCGACATCAAACGTTGAATTACTGGGTCACCCGCCGTATAGCCCCGACCTCGCGCCTTGTGATTTTTATTTATTTCCAAAAATTAAAGAAAAACTTAAAGGAAAGCGGTTTATGAATGCTGAAGAAGCGGTGGCTGCGTATCGCGATGCCATTGAAGAGACCCCTAAGGACGAGTGGGCAAAGTGCTTTTCCCAGTGGTTCCATCGCATGCAGCGGTGTATTGACGTGAATGGACAATATTTTGAAAAGATATAATAAAACTAATAACTGGCTAATGTAATCAGTTTTTGATTTTCTAAGAACTTTCAGTTTGACCCTCGTATATATAATTTAATCTTCGACTTATTTCCTCATTATCATTCCATTTTCAGCGACGACTTCAAACTCTTCTCTTAAAATACATAAAGACATATCGAAGTATAGCTCTTTTTCATCAGTATACTGTACTATTTCTTCGAGAGTGAAAAGTGTAATACCATTCGTGAAGGTGGCCTACCCTGACATGATGGGAAGTCAGGGCCACGTTCAGCCGGAACCACTCAATAAGATGGAAAGGACTGCATGCAGGTAATATTAGGTTTTACTAATATTTAATCCACTACCACGTTATGGGCCCACACTCTATGTAGTACTAGAAGACCATTCTAGCAGAAAGGACATTAATACACTGCTGAAAACCGATTCAAAAAATTGACACCAAATATATTTCTTTATAATAAAACAACAAAATACACCACAGCTTTATGCTCATTCTCCTTTTATTTATTAATTGTTATTAAACATTTTCACCAATGTTTAATTAATGAACAATATTTAATTAAAGATCTCCTCAACTCATAATATTAACTTAAATTTCATATAGTAAAAACATTCTACAGATTTGCTCCTATCTTTTGCAGAATGAAATTACTTTCGTGTGTGGATCGAGCAATAAATCCAGAAGCTTATATGAATGAAGTTGTATACGACTTGGACCAAATTTGTAGCACTGGAAATGTTTCAGACAATACTGCTCAGAAAAGGTTAGAGTAAACAGTTTCTCATTTGAAATTCCTAATATTCAATATATTTTTTGTTTGTCCATTCTCTACTAATATCGCAAACTGATTAGAAATATATAGAAGCAAGAAAACTAAAATTATTGTATATTCATAACAATTCTCATTTATATTACAGTTCCGACAGTTTGTTTCTTGGAAACACTGATGAACAAGAAGTTACAAAAATTAACTGCTTTTCTTCTCGATTAAGTTTTGAATCCAGATTTGAGTCCGGCAACTTAAGAAAAGTCATTCAGGTAATTACTAAAGAAGCAGTTCTCTATATTCGGAAAGAACGTTTAATCCTATTACCTTATTCGGTTATCAGTGATCTCTCTTTAGGTAGGTCCCAGAGAGTACGAGCTTATCCTGATGCCAGATGTGAATTCAACAAAGAGACACCAATGGTTCTATTTCGAGGTGCGCAGTATGCAGCAAGGCCGACCCTACATATTCAACATAGTTAACTGCGAGAAATCTGACAGCCAATTCAACTTTGGCATGAAACCTGTTTTGTATTCTGTGAAAGAAGCTGTGTTGGGTAGACCAGGTGAGCAATCTAAGAAATATATTGAAAGCTTTGCTAGAATTGGAAACGATAATGACAAAACATTGCTTTTTATATACAAGGCCAATTCAACTACCGCCAAACCGACTGGTCTACCACCTAACCATAATAAGGACATATATTTTAATCAAAATTATTAATATAGTTGCAAAATGTTTTTGATAATAAGAACAAATGTTGGGTTTTTGTAAATACCTTTCAAATTACTTTCATATCGAAAACTAGAAAAAAATAAAGAAAATATAAAATTTCTTTATAGAATTTTCAGTTAAAGTTTGGTTTACCGAGATCAATAACTTTTATTAACTTAAATAGCCCTTTCATGTTTCCAGGGTGGGTTCGAGCTGGTACTGACATCTGTTACTATCGCAACAGTTACCACTATGCAAACCAGAAGAACCATACGAAATGCTACCTCACTGTCACGTTCAATATAGAATTCCCGCACTCAAACGATGTGTGCTACCTCGCTTATCATTTTCCGTTCACATACTCGATGATGATGGTTAGTACTGATTTATTTTAGACAAACCATCTATACCCTAAGTACGAAATATAGCGAGGACAAATGAAATTAGTATAGAGAACAGTTGTCAAATTTTATTACTAATATTAGCACAGTAGTCTACCGCTGTAGCAGAAATTATGTTTTCTAATACAATAACTAGACATTTGTACTAAGGGTACTGAATGTGTGAAGACAAGCCATAAGTTAACATTTTCTTTTACAGTCCAATATATTTCATTTTCTTTGTCTAATTTTACTGGTTATTTTTTATTTTTTAAATTAGTTTTTTATTTGTTACCTACGTGTAGACTCGCATCTGGCAATGGAGTCAGCAGCTACCGGCAGGAACGTACCTCCGAATGGAACCACTCTGCTATTCACTTAACAATAATGAAGTCCCACTGTTGACTATCTCTGCAGAAGATACACCAACCAGCTCCATAGTGGTAAGCTCAAGATAAAATCTATTATTGAAAATTCAAAACAATTTTTAAAAAGTTTATTCACATTTAACTAAAGTATGTAGGTACGCTTTTGTTCGATATCTATTTGCTACATGATGAAATTTTGGGGCTTCTGTTAAAAAACCTTGATAAGTGGTTTTGGCAGTACTTTTGTAATGTTAACCTGACACCTTCTAAAGAATTCTGAACAGACTGAATAAGATGGTGCAAGATCAGGACTATACGACGGATGCATCAACACCTCCCAGCCAAACTCTCCCAATTTTTGCAGAGTGGTAAAAGATGAGTGGGCTTAGCGTTATCATGATAAAGAACCACACCCCTTCTTTTGTTTAATTCTGGCCGCTTTCTCTCAACTTCTTGCAAAATCACACATTTTCCTAATTTAAATTTGGAGTTAGAATTGTATAGCCAGATAGATGTTAATACAAGTTTATGCATACTATATGCGAAAAGACTTTTTCCCCAACCTTATTAGGTAGGGGAAATTAATTGGAGTTAAATAATTAGAAATTATCAACTATCATTATCAATCAAGTGGATTTTTTAAGCATTTTGTATTAAGAATAATTTTCAGTATGGTATTGTGAATGCAAAATTAATCAAAATATATTGGAACAAATGGTAATATTTGAGATAGGAATAATTCTGCTTTATAACAATTATAATGTATTCAACAAAGTATATTTTTTCGCAGGATAGAGAGATAATTTTCCTGACGGCACGAGTACACCCCGGCGAAAGCAATGCTTCCTGGGTGATGGATGGCACCCTCAGCTGTTTGCTGGGAGACTCTACCGCGGCAGCAGGACTAAGAGCCAAGTACGTCTTCAAGATCGTGCCCATGCTCAACGTTGAAGGAGTCATCAATGGCTGGTATGTACTCCTGTATTACATTAAATGTATTTCCGGCAATACTGAATGAAAGGAATACTACATCCAATCCAAAGGAATGAAATACCAGTTTTACAAAGTTTTAATCTTTATTTCCTTCGCTACACATTCACTATCTTAAATTCTTGAGATTCAACATAATACACTTAACTAGGTACGTCACGTATATAAACACTATTTTATAGTTCTATTTCAAATGATATGTCCTGAAAAATAATATCTGCATAATTTTCTTAACTTAAATTAATACATTACGGTTTAAACGGATAAGGAGAGATCTAAAACTCAGCTTAACTATCTTAGCGAAGTTTAGGCACCTATATTTTGTGGAACAGTCATTTTGTGATATTCACTATTATTGAAGACGGAGGCAAGTCGCATAGGGCGAGTCGCCAGCACCTTCATGTTTCATATTGCCCCAAAGAAACCATCGAAAATCACCATAATATTTTGTCAGTTAACACAAAAATTACGTTTCCTTTACATTAATCGATTTAACCAAATGCACCTTCAACACGTCCTAATCTTAAGCACCCTAGAATGGCTCTGTTTATAAGAATAATACTTTTGGTAGTCACAATACCTAATTGTCATGAAAATAGAACGCATCAAAGCGAATGCTTTTCCGGACGCTAATAGGCGGGGGGTGCCAGCATGCCGCTGGCGTGGACGGAATGTTCAGTAGCGTCCGGTTCGGCAGTAGACGGTATGTCCTCAGCGGGAGCCGCGCGAGCCTCCTTAGCCAAGTAAGCTGCGGGATCATCGCCGACCATTCCCTCGTCGTCCTCATACGGACCCTGTGTAGGCTCTTCCTTCTCCTCGTGATCACGAGCGTGAGCATCTGATGCCCGCGAGTAGTGTGAATCAATCTGTGGAGGTGATTTGAGCAGTGCTCCTGACTTTAGATGAGGAGACTCCAAACCGTCGAGGGACGAGGGACGCATTTTTCCAATAAGGTCATTGAGAGTAAAGTGGGTAGGTAGGTGCTCGTTGATCGGTGGCGGCGGTGACGACGAAGTGAGCGGGTGCGCGGTGGTTGTTGTCGTCAGCGATAGCGGCTTTCTGTTGAAGAAATCGAGAGGCTCATCCATGCACTCATAATAACGCCCGATGATAAATTGCAACAAAGAATAAGGATCGGTGCAAATCTTACAGAAGTTCCAGCTAGTCTTTCATTGAAATGTGCATTAGTAAATAATGGAACATCCACAGTGTGTAAGGTTGAAACTCAAACTGTGTCAAATATGCACCGACCATTATAGCTGTAAAGACACGTCAGTAAAATACTGCAATCTTCCATAACTATTCGTTATTTATTGCAAAAATAATTTTATGCTAAATGTTATTGATTTACATTTATATAAAATCTACTAACACAAATCTAATTGTTATCACAAAGCATAAATGGACATTATGACAAAAACTAGAGATACCAAGCAAAGCCCCCTCACCCACCCACCAAATTTTTAAATTTTGAATCATACTCTTTTCTAATCTTAATGAAAGCGAACTGTCCGAAAGTCTTCTGGGTGTAGGGCTCTTGTTTGGTGGTTGGGTTGGCGCAGAGACCTAGTCCCGCGGGCCCGCGCGCATTGCATCAATATGAGCATAACAGAACTAAACTACAGTTAGCACACTACTTGAGAGTATAAGAGCGGAGTGTGAAGTATGACGCGTGTTTAATGAACGTTATCACGGTGGGAGAGCGCGCGGCTTGCCGGGGAGCGGGCCTCCGGAGACAGCTGGCATCTCACCTGTCATTACCCCTGCGCGGAGGAGACGGGGATGGAGCCGTAATTGTAGTAGTAGCAGCGTGTCTGTTCGCAGATGAAGTCCTTGATCTCGCCACAGTGCTGCGGCTCCCAATGGAAGGTGGGCGCTTTTAATGCCACGCAACCGTTGGTCATCACGTGCTCAGTTCTGGAATACCGACTATTTTTTATTAGCTATTAATACATTTTATTCTCAATCCCAGAAATAGAACACAAACAATCATACAATAATAAGAGGAAAGGTTTGGTTGTTTATTTGAACTTCGAATAGGTTCCGGAATAACTAGACTGATTTTAAAAATTCTTTCACTTTCAGAATGTTAATTCATACGCGGCTGACAGGCTATAATCTATGCGGCAGAATTCACGGGCAAACAGCTGCCAATTATTAAAAAGATAAATCATTTTATGACTAATTTTCTGAAATATGTTGTAAAAACTCTATATAATACATCGTAGGTATAAAACAAAATTGTATGAAGTGGTATAATAAAAAAAACAATTAAGAATGTTATCGGCTGAGGAAGAGTTAATTTGTAATAACACTTTGAGAATTAACACTTAATTGCAAGTTAAGGTTCAGTTAAAGTTATTATTATCGTTTTAAGTGCGGGATGCAGCCAAGCACGACATGGGAAAAATTGCAACTATCAATTTCCCAGAAAAAAAAACTTTAATGGCGTAGGTACACAACTTGTTTTAGCATAGGAATACGAGAGATAACATCAATTTTCTTTTCCAATTAAACTAGTTCCTGTTATTATAGATTTCTTGCATTACCGCCATTAAATATACACGATTAATAGTATCTTTACTTACTTACAGCATTTATGTCTAACATAAACAGTAATGAGGGTTCATTGTTCTTTATTAAATACTAGCTATGTTCACGCGACTTTGTCCACGCAAGTTATAACCAATGTGATAGATTTTAAATCGAACCAGTTTTTATAATCTACTCGATATAAGCAAATTATCGTCGCGTCTCATTAAAACAATGAAGTGTTTCTCTTAATAATAGTAGTAGAGATAAAAGTAGATTACAAAAAATGTTTTTTTATGTTACGCTGTTAATCATACTCATTGATTTATCGTACGATATAAGATAGTCTGTTTTGAATGCCCTCATTCAATACAACGATTGAGCTATCATTTTTTCGCTCACCAGACGGCGAGACAATCCCAAAATTTCCTATCATAGTGTGTTTTCTTGAATCATACAAAAAAAAAGTTTTTTTTATAAATATCGAGCATAACCAATAAATCTAACCTCTGAATTAGTTTTTATCTAATTTCATTAGCTTTTTTCCTAGCTGCGTTTTTAAAGCACATTCATTGACCCGTAAATTATAATTGCTTAATGAATATCAAGTACCCTCAAATAAGCACGAATGTTTATTTGAATAGCGTAGCTCACCGACAAAATGTAACATTTTGAAGACATCGCTCTACACTAGCGCCTTTAGTAGCAAACTCAAGGGCCTCATTGGCTATAAACCAATTTGTCTGTGAGAGTATTAAAGATTAAATAAAATAGCGTACCCATGCCTAGCGGTGCGTTGCGGCGCTGTGCTACCCTGGGGCACATCTAGTGGGTCGATGCTGTCGTCTGGATGCATCGCGGGCGCATCCATAGCAACGCGTCTCATGTAATTGAAGGTTGCATTAAACGGTAGCCCTGTGCTCATCCACAGATACATATCTGTGCCAAGATTGTTGCCTGACGTCCAAAAGTCATATTTATTGTAGCCTGAAAACAGATAAAAATCAACGTAAATTATAAACTCAATAATCCCCATAAGAACTTTTTGGTAGGTTATACTTTTATGACTAAACGGTATCTACTGACACTTCGGCTAAGTAGTATCATTATTTAAAGCTACATTTTTTAAATATTCGCAATTTCTTTGAAAACTCAATAACTCCCAATATAAATAGTTCACTATCTTTAAGCTTTAAAAATATAGCCTTTCATAAGAACCAAAGCAGTTTGTATCGAATTTCATATAAAAAAATCACTATTGTTAAAAATATGCTGAATGCTGAAAATGCTTTATCCACTATATTTAAATACTCATTTTATTGAAAAAACTTCACTTGAAACAAATAATTCAGGTTATTATGTGTCCTTCTTCTTGATATAGAGATCGAAAAATTTATGAGTTTCTCAAAACTAATAAAGTAGCCGCTTAAACGATATTGCTTTAATACAATGCCTTTTTTATTCATGTGGCAGCAAAATAAATAAATGTAAAATATCTTTCTTACCTGCATTAGTTAGATATGTCGTGATGGAGTCTGCCTTCTCTTTCGTTTCGAACGACGCCAGTTGGAGGCCCAACGATCTGGAATCGAAATTAGATACATTTGAAACACGATGCCCATTTATAAATATTAAGTTTCAAACTAAGTATGAATTCGTTCGTTCAATATTTATGAAATGTGATGCTTCGCAAAAGGTTTTGAATACCTGGCTAGCCTATCGTACCGCCATTTGCTTTCCGATAAAGCAAATAACCTTGAAAGTAAGGAAAATTGGCAATTATTCTTTAGTTAAGACCAGCAATGCGACCGTCTAATTATCACCACAGAACTCTAGCTACGACTCTAGCCATAGATAAAAAAACATATTATTGATTTTAGTTTCCAGAATTATATAGAGTTTTTAAAAATTTAGACAAACAGAGCTATTTCGAAAATTTTAATAAACCAAAATGTTTGATTACATAGAAAATATATAATTATAAACTAATATCAATATGTATATTCATTGATTACGTGCGTTACAAATTTTACGAAGGTTTATAGTGTGATTTGAAACAAAATGGAATGTAAAAGAAACTTAAGTTTCATGTATTGGTTACTAAAAATTAGTAGATTGTCAAAATGCATTAGAGGAACATACATTGTACTGAAAGAATATTATTAAACAGCGGAAAAATGTGCGAGTAGTTTAAAATATGTCTCACAATCGTGATTTTAAGGATATTGTTGAAAAGACTCCCTTATGTTTTATAAAATGTTTTCGAACAGGATAAATTGGATACAGGTTTATCCACGGGGCTTATCTAACTATCCAGACTTATAGTATTCAGCTATTAGCGTGGTAGATAGCACACGGAATCCTGTTCGGCCGCGAGCAATTTATTCGCTAAAGACAGGCTGCGTCCTTGTCGGCCAGCCGACATTCCAGCTATGTTCAGAAAACTTCTTAAGATTAAGGACCTCCGCCAACATGCCATAATCGGGATGTTCGTTTGATTTTTAATTTTATTACGCGTGTATAAAAACTTATTGGTTCATTTTGATTTTATACATTAAATAATTAACATTTCAATAAAAATGTATTATATTATTTATTTGAAACGTATCACTAGAAAATAATGAGATTGAATTTAACACATTTTTATATTTCATAGCATAGGATAGATATTCTTTAACATAAACTTATTGAAAAACATGTTAGGAAATTGAGATGTACGGGTTATACATATCAACATACTAGTGGACGCCCGCGACTTCGTCCGCGTGGAAGTCGGTATCCCGTGGGAGTGAGAAGTTTTCCCAGTAAAAAGTACCCTATGTGTTATTCTGATGTATAACCTATATTGCTGTAAAGTTTTATCCAAATCCGTCCAGTAGTTTTTTCGTGAAAGAGTAACAAACATCCATACATCCATACTTACAAACTTTCGCCTTTATAATATTAATAGGATTTTCTATTACTTTAGAACCGCAAGGTGACCAATTTTGTCCGGATAAGTTTGGTTAAATCAGCTATATTTAGTCAAATGTATGCGAGATTGGTCCGCGCCGGTTTGTAGAGACCGAGAGAATTCATCTCATATCCAATGTATCCGTTCAATATTTTTGTAATGAACCATATCTTATTAGCTCAACAATATTTGTTTAATAAATACATATTCTGTAAATATTTCAAGTGTCTACCTGTTGTAGTTATTAATATCGAGCAAAAAAAATCACATTTTTGGTTTGGAAGCTTCCTTAGATATTTTATTTATTCTGGTTTTTAGTATTTGTTGTTTAAGCGGCGACAGAAATACATCATCTGTGAGAATTTCAACTGTCAAACTTTCACTGTTCATGGGATACAGCCTGGTGACAGACAGACAAACAGCAAAGTCTTAGTAAAATAGAATTTACGCTTTACGCTTTGAGTCTAGAACCATAAAAATAATACAACTAGTTTTGCCATAATATTCAAGATTTAAACTTATTTACCATTGCTTTCACAGGATCCAGTTACGTCCCAACTAACATGTCTCACTCTAAAAATATTTATTCTTACTTATATTTGTCACTCAATAGAATATTTAAAAACTAATTTAAAATTATCGTAATTTAAATTATCATAATTTTCTTATATCTTTTTATTCCAACCTTAAATACTTTTAAAACGTGATTTAACAACATTGAAATTACACGTGCAAACGCAGTAATTTCATTTCCGACGTCATTGTTCAAAATAACATTCATATGCATGACAGATAACTGCAGGTATATGCATGTTGAAAAAATTGATCTCTCAATCGATATTGAATCGACCCAAATTCGGTATATGTAAAGCAATATTTTTTATGTTTTATTCGCCATAACATGCATATATTTTGTACGTTTGCAATGACATTTTTTGTAAACATTCTTGTACTTGTTTCATAACTTGTTTATGGACTCGTTCAATGAAGTTTTTAGAGTTCCGTACCCAAAGGATAAAACGAGACCCTATTGCTAAGACTCCGCCGTCTGTCTGTCTATCTGTCTGTCTGTCACTAGGCTGTATCTCATGAAACATGATCGTTAATACTAAAAAACAGAATAAAATAAATATTTAAAAAATAAATAAATATTTTCATTGATAATGGTGCGAGAACCCGACGTGCGCGAGTCCGACTCACAATTGGCTGTTTTTTTATACATTTGCAATGACATTTATAAGCGTTATTGTACTCGTTTTATAACTTGTATATGGACTCGTTCAATGACATTTTTGAATTTATTTTATCAGTCAGATTATAATGTCTTTTTTCCGATCAAATTTAAGAAGCTGGTTTTAATGAATAAAATACATAATATTTTGTAGATATTCGAGTGATGGTAGTAAATACCTTGGCGCCGGCGCCGGCGCCGCCCGCCGTTCGCAAATACCGTTAGGATCTTTGCGGGCCGCGTCTAAGTAGTATCTTGTGGTAATCAAATAATGCGTTTAAAGTAATAAGTTAATTATACGAGTATATTTTTTAAATTACCAATATAAGCATCGAAAGCAAATCCATACAAAGTTTTAAACAAATAAAATTAAAAGAAATAATGTAATAACATAATTATTATTTTTATTTAAAAAAGTCAACTTATTTTTTGATTCATTTAAAGAAAACCTCAATAAAATTATTTAATATTAATAAGCGTAATTTAAACATCAGTGACTCCACAAGACATATATTTTAAAGTAACTTTCCGAAAGCGATGCTCTATTATTAGAGTCCTCTATTATACATATAATCCTTCCTGTTGAATCACTCTGTACATATACTGAAAATCTGTTGTGTATTTTAAAAGATCTCCGAATGTACAGATTATCACGATGACATTGCTCTCGTACCGGTAAATATAAATAATAATCGACCACTCTAAGAGTCTATATTAGGACTACGGCTCATTGTGGCGTTTGCTATTATGCTATATAAATACGAGAGTAGGGACAAAAGCTCATTATCCTCGGAACAAGATCACGATACCGCAGCGACGCGACGTTCCATCAACGCGGACACTCGGTGCTCGTTCGTTCCCATCGTCAACAATTGGAACTGTAAATAGGTCGTGACAATTTGGAAGGACATCGTCGTGACCGCGCGGCCGCGATGCCGGGCGATTGACCTATTAGTGCTCTATACCGTCTTTCATTTTGTTAAGAAACTTTTGGGCAGTTTGAACGCAACTAGTTTAATTTTAAGCAACTGTTGATTAAATTAAATATAGCGCTTTTAAAATCCATTTAAGATTAGAACTACTACGTGTATGCCTGGAATATGGCTTGGGTCACCTCTCGAGAGAGAGTTTCCGATCCTAATTTAACTGATTTCGATCACTCCGTCGGGAGAGACTAGTCGGTATGTCTGGAATTTATTTCGTTTTAACTTCTTTCGAGATATGCGGTACAACTATTAAAAACGGACTTCAACGTTAAAATCCACTTTAAGTTCACATAGAAGTAGAAACGCGATAGATCTACCGAAATTAATATTTCATAAACTGTTAAACTTCACAATAATGACTCCATTCCGTATAAACAGATGGCTCTCATAATAAGTCATCTTTTAAATATAAAACAAAGGTCAACGTCTACGACATACGCCTAAGCACATCTAACCGCGATTGTATAACGCCACGTGGGAACATTCCAGTAATAAATCATTTCTCTGCCGCCGTCGCGCCGCCCGGTCTCAATTGCAATATTCTCGAGTCTATTGTGGTAGTATTTAAAGAGTACGAATCGCGGAAGTAGCTCACCATGGCGTCTATATTGTTTACCAGTGTACGCAGAACCCTTAACGGTAATGCAAATGTCGTTGTTGAACACACTTCCTGGTCGTAGGGCGTCGGAGCGAACTATACACGCTTGTTAACACCGACCACAGCGGGATTAGTGCAGGAATAGAAACGCGATACCACAGATAAGGACATTGCAAGTCACGATGCCTTCTATATCTGTTTCGCGAAACTAACACGTTATATAACGGAGTCCTTTTTTTTTCTTTGTGTGCGCAGAATGTGAGCACATACCTGCAATACTGATAAGCTAGGAAGTAGTTGAGCTCCGGGCTATAGGGATTCATCCTCGAGATAAAGTATTGGACGCCATCTAACTGAATTGTTGTTATCCTCTGGGCTGAAACAAAAGATTTGTTTTATTATTGCTGTTATATTGGCGAAATATCTAGGCAGAAATATTTTTAGTGTGCTTTATCAATTTATGATTATAGTTTCAACGATGGAATTATTAGCAAAAGCTTGGCTCAGTCTCCAAAACTTTGATATTGAAGGAATGACATTATGAAAATTATTAAAAACATCACTAATAAAATGGAATACATTTTCGTGAGCCTGTAATTAGAGTATATCTAAAACGGGTTGTTCCTTAAACCATTGAAAGTTATTATAATTACTTCAAATTTTATTAATCAATGGTTTCATTGTGGTTTGGAATAAGATCAGTTTTTATATCAAATCCATTTTTGTAGAGCTTGGCCTTCACGATACTTGTTATATATATAAGTTTTAATACGTTTTTAATTGGTAAATAGCCAATGTTCACCGTGGGCCTACCTAAGGACCACGCGAGCGAAGCCGCTGACGGAAAGCTAGTTTAAGTTTAAAAGTTTATAAAGAAAATATCTTCTGAAACCCCAAACACCGTTGAAATTGTCAACATAAATTTTCTCACAACTGCAACCCCATCTAATCTAATGAAAGTATATTAAAATAAAAAATGATCCCGCATTGTCACAGCAATTTGTTGCTCAATTACTACATTCCATAGATATAACAATACTGATCTATATACCCTACATGAAAGAAGTCCTATTTTCGTTGACAGTTATATATTTTGTCATTTCAGTCGCATACTCGATCACCATAATCAGAGCGGTATGATAGCAAGAAGCAACCTGTAGGTCAAGTGATGTTTGAAATTCATAATAGTGCTTGGCCCATCATAAAATCGCACATTTTCAAAGCACCATTTCAGTATAATCGTTTGCGCGTGTATTACATACGACTACGTGCAATATTCGCGGTCAACCACGTTGGTCGAGGACAGTTAATTAAATTCAATGTCCACTTATTGCTGCGGTCAACGGCAACATTTATTGATTACTAATTTGGTAATGGAATGAAAGCGATACTATATCGAATGAAACAATTCTCGTTTTATGTCTTAATTGAAGATGTATAAATATTTTTGATTCGCATAAGGTCTGAGTGCAACAACAAATTTCTAGATAAGTTTTATCACTTCAATATTGGAAACCCACGCAACAGCTATTGCATGACTCAATCCGTTCGATACAGCATAATCCTTGCAACCATTGTAATATCAGTTGAAGCTGCAATTTAACATCATCCTAGAGATAGCTGCAGGAACACAAAGAAGCGGTGAATGACACGGGAGAAACGCACTGTCACTGTAAAAAGCACTCGAGATGGTACTCTCGTGCGCGTTAAAGGTGCGATTAATATGTACCTAAAAGGCGTATGCAGTATTTTAAAGCTTTCAACATTGCGTCAGTTAAAATAAGAGCTTAATCAACCTAAACTTTTTCAACGAAATCAACTGCGTGATATTCACGTATCTGGTGATATTTAAGTCGGTTACAAAATAAAAAACCACAGCGCAAGATTTTGTCAAAACTTTAATGTCTCGAGTTTCTGGTGTTCTTTGAACTTTTTATGTATTTTTTTAAAAGAGGTTATGGTTTTTGAGGCAAGAATTGAGGGAAAAATTGAATTTATTAGTATTTTAGATATTCATCACCTTTTTAATGACTACGGAATTATAAATTTTCAATGAATTTAGCATGCAACTTTATTCCGGAAAACCCCGACGGAAATCGAGCTTGATGTTAATGAAGATTAAGATACCGTTTTCGTACGTGAACTGACTCGGCAACGTGATGGCTTTTACTTTATCTGCCTTGCAAAATACAAATCTACAGATAAAATGTTTCCGAGAAACAAATTATGTAATTTGCATACATCTTGAGAATACTGGAATTGATTTACCAACTCTTTAAATTTTAATACGGAAAATTAACCACGCGTTTAAATAATAAATCGGTTATTTAATGATGGCAACCACATCAACATGTTATTTTGTAACACACAACACAGCACTGCAGATTCTGTAATGAACAAGAACTTGTCCTTTAAAAGCGACATTGGCCGGTTTCAACTCGCCGCGAATCAATTGTATAAGATACGACGTACGTCGTTAAAGAGGCGTGGGTTTACAACTGGGCTTAACTCGGCTATTAGAAGCTTAGACTGCGATTGGAATCCATGCATAATGTAACCTCATGCATAAGTGATGTTGCACATTACTCGCGCACGTCCATTTTACCTTTTATACTATATTTTACTGATGAATGCTGGCCGCATGCTCAAGTTCTATTAATAGTTCTACAATATAGTCTTCAATATTTCAACAAGTACAATTTTAGTTACTACATACAATTTTGAAGTATTGATAAAATACATAAGCGTTTTTATGATCAAGTCTTTAATATGCTTTCGTTATATTGCTAGCAATAAAAGCTCGGTATAAATACTATGATTTGTGTGAAATCTCAAGAAATATGACACGTTGGTATAAAAGGCGATCGTTAGCCTTAGAAAGTGATGTTGGTGAGCGCGACGAGCCCGCGGCCACAATGAGCGGGCTCTGGAGGCGGGTCACGTCGCGTGAGTCATGCGCGCGCGCCGCATACTGATGCAGCAGACGGGCGCGAGCGTTACATATGAACAAGAATGCACCACGTTTCCTTACTACACTGAAGTTACTATGAAACTGTGGTATTGATTAAAAGAACAACGTTGTGTTGGAAAAGAAGGCACTTTTAATGTATATTTTTCATCTAGTTTGTCGACTTTTTGGAATCATACCCATGGAATAGAGTGCAAATAGTTACTATAACCTGTGAAAATAGTCTGGGTCCCCTTTTGTGAGAGGTGTGCCCTAAGGATTAATATTAGGTCCCCTAATCTTTTAATTTGTGGTAATAACATATCTTACTATATTAAGAATGTATGGAACATGGTGGTATTTGCTAATGATACTTCATTATTTTGTAATTTGAGCAAATAATCATGTTAAATTCCGAATTCCTTCGTTAATGTACAATTAATAATGTAACTCTGAAGAAAATGAAATGTATAATTTTCATTACAGTTACTATTATGGTCAAAGTTGAGTGCATTTGAATCAACCAAACGTAGCCAATGGATTTAGGTGGCTTAGGTAAAAAGTCGTCATAGAATTGTAATTTTACATGGAATTTCATAAACTTTGCCTGAAAATATCTTTATATATTAATAATACTTTTTTGAACAGCTGAAACATTTTTAACCTTATTTAAACAACCGTTTATCGGTTCGACAAATTGTCAAAAATAATATTCTTGATGACCAGCCGGATAGCCGTTTTTGTAAAGGTTGAATACAATGCCACATTTTCAGATATGCTGTATTAACTTTGCATTATAAAGACTTTAATGTAAATTATTATTTACATTGCATTTTCAAGTGAGATTTATATAGTTTAAAGAATATTTTAAGGACGTATTTCATTTGTTATTACTTATTTTGATGCCCCTTAATAATTTTATTTTGAAATTTCTTTTAAATGTTGAGTATCGCACTGTCGATGCTCAGACTATATAGTTCAGTGTCTAACCATATGAAAGTAAAAAATAAATAAAATGGGTAATACAAAATATGATTATGTATGGACAATAGAAAATATAATAACAAACAGGATATTATAATATCAAACTTATTCAAGATTAATATAATTTTATCTGCATTTAACATCAAAGTGATCGCTTGATGAATTATTAATCCTCCGTTCTATCATAATCCATTCAGACGAGGAACGATTGAAAGACAACGAAATTGTATGACAAGAGGCTAATGTCGTGACTCATTCATTATGTTCCGTTTTCAAATATCACCACATCGAATCTCACGTTTAACAATACACGGCGTTTAACAACTTCCTTCCGTTCATTCATATTTTTTAATTGTATATATAAGTAGTTTACTTTTAAGGTATATTTAAACAACTTGAAATCAATTATGTACTGTAATATTAATTTCGTTTGAGCAAAGGAATCTTAGCGTACACAGCCTCGTCTTCTGTAGCGTTATGTTGCTATTTTCACAAAAATTCTGGTGGTCGATATTTTAATGCCTTTTAATGATTTTTTTGAAGCAATCGAAAGATCAAAAGTCCATATAAGTTCGCGAGATCCCTTCACGTTACCGCTTTAAATCATGGAATACTTTTCTTGTTTAGAACACATGTAACAAGTAATTTACATTATTACATATTTCTTTTCATATATTCACTATTAAAATGGTTCTTACATAATAACACCACCTTTGGGAACTAAAAATCACAATAAACAAAAATACATGCCATTAAATAGACACCCTAAAACTATTTTCGTTTCGTTGAAAATTCTTACTGTATGATTATAATATTTTTACCTATCATTCGTTTACGAGGTCTAAAGAAAATTTGTTTCGGCCACCTTGTTCTGCTTAAATTGCTATCAGCCAAGCAATGTCACGCATAACCAACACTTATATTATCCATGGGAAGTGTTTGTAAACAACTTGCGAAAGATATTTAAACAATCAAGTGATGTTCGTTAGACATGCTTCCTCTTTGTTAACAAAAGCATTCCTAATTTGAATCACGGTGAATATCCAAGCAACAACTAACGGGACCACTAGGCGCCGTCTCCCTGTGAACAAAACTAACCGGGGTTCAAGTAACTCTGGTAATTCAATTGTGTAACGCTTATAAAAGCTCCATTGTGATGTCACCTTAGCAATGTCACAAGAAATCTGTTTATAGTTTTTATTTAAAAAAAAAACACGCTTACAATCTTATTATTTAATGAAATTAACCCATTTAATGAAATTTGTATTTTAGCGTGACTATTTAAAATGAATTGTGGCTTAACTAACGTTAAGAAAAGTAGTTAAATACATAAAAGAAGGATAACAGGGGTTAGTAAACTCAATGGTCAATTAAAACAATTAGGTAGGTGCGTGTTTTCAAACAACTTGGCTGAGCGTACACTATACGATTTGGTTTTCAAAAGAAAATCACAAAACGCTAGTAATATTACTCACATAAAGATTAACTCTAAAATGAACTGTAAAAGTAATAAAGATTCAAGGAACAAATCAAATGTAAGACTAT